TGAAGCATCCATGGACAAGCTGCGGGAAAAGCAGAGGCAGTTAGAGGCGGCGGAGGTTGAGAACCAGCTCCTGAAAATGAAGGTAAAGTAAATGAGCCTCGAATTCCTCTGCCTTCCTTCTCTCCTCTCCAGCTCTCCCATTTCTCTTCTTCATTAAATTTTTCATTAGAGATTTTTTTTATGGCCAGTTCCACAGGGCATTCTGTGAAGGCCTGTGTTCACAGTTGTCAGACCCGATTGGGGTGCTTCATAAACACCCCACTGGCACTCCTTTCTTGGCCCTCGGTGTCCTCAAGGTTACTTAGAAGTCACCAAGACATTGCAGTTTTGTTCCTGGGAAGGCCATTGGGATGCCATCAGGTCTGGGACTTCACAAGCTTTGGAGCGCTCTCTCCCTTCACTGTTAAATTTTCTCTGAAGTCCCAGGACCATGCAGTTCACTGGTACTTGGACTTTGGCTCCTTTCTCAGGGTGGCAAAGGATTCTGGGGCATGTCTCTTTTGACTGCTGAGTATTCCTCAGCTAGACCTCTAATGCCCTGAAGGCATCAGTGCCCACGTCTGAAGCTCTTTTTTCCTTCAATTTTATATATGCTATGTCTGAGTAAGAGTTACTTTGAAGAAAAAGGTTTGTTGCTGAAATTATTGAATTAAATCTTTTCCTTAGTGTAAGAACTTTATGCAGTTACCCATTCCACAAACACTTACTAAAATGTACTGTCTGTGTCTGTCCTGTGCGTTCCTGTTTGTTCTGGGGTGGTATGTCACCAGGCATCTAGGGACATCAATGGCAGCTTGGCAGTTTGGCTGCTCCCAGGCAGTCCAGGCCCCTACGTCCAGCCAACACTGGGCTGTTTTAGAGACTTCAGGCTAGTTTTCATCCTGACCAGTGGACTGAAAGAGGTTTTCCCTTTCCCTTCTTATTTTGCCCCCCAAATTAAAAAAATGTTACAGGGACCCAGGGCATTTCACATGACTGGGGCCGGGGGCAGAGTGAACCGACCTCAGAGCAGAACCCTTTCCCATGGTCGGCCTGCACTGGAAATGAAGTGTACAGTGCCCCAGTTTCTTGGCTAATAACCTCTGCTTGGGAGTTTCCATTTTGTGGCTTCTTGGTGCCCACATTTGCCTAGTGATGAGAAGGAGGAATCAAAGGGTGTCCAGAGGGACTTGTCACGTCTTTGGATGAAGCATCACATAAGCTATTTGGATAAGGACACCTTCCTTATCCAAATAGGAGGTATTCAGCAGACTCAGCTCTCTGAAACAAGCAGCAGCCTGGAGGGAAGGGATAAGAGCAGACCTGCAGCAAGTTTAAGAGAGAGGCCTGAGGTTCCACACGTGAGGATCTGGCCGAGGCAGAAAAGAGACAACAGCCCCGCAGCCTCAGCCCTGCCCACTCCCAATTCCCAAGCTGCACTTGCTCAGGTCACTAGAAGTGCCAAGTTTAACATTTCTTCTGATTGGAAACACATTCGGGAAAGCACATAGGTGGGGAAAGAATGGGTCCAGATGTCTTTTTTCTTTTTTGGCAGTACTGGGATTTGAACTCAGGGCCTTATACTTGGCAGGCAGTTCTCTACCACTTGAGCCATGCTTCCAGCCCTTTTTTGATTTAGTAATTTTTTAGGTAGGGTCTTGTGTTTTGCCCAGGGTTTGGCCTGAACCACAATCCTCCTAACTATGCCTCCAGTGTAGCTGGAATCACAGGTGTATGCCACCATGCCCAGCTTATTAATTGAGATGGGGTCTTGCTAACATTTTTGCTCAGGCTGACTGCAAACTATTATCCTTCTGATTTCTACCCTAACAAGTAGCAGATTTCTTATTTGAGCTTAACCAAGGTCTGCTCAAGAGATGAGGTTGGCTAGTGCAACTAAAGAGATTGTTTATAGAGAAGGTAAGTTTTTTCCTTTTGATCATCGTGAATAAATGAGTGTACAGTGCCACATTTGTTTTATTTTTCTGTGCTCTGTTCAGCCCTCTTCCTCTTTCCTTCCCTTCTTGCCTTGGGAGTTCCTGCTGCCTCTATCTCCTGCGGAACCTGAGTGATGGGCTCACTACCTCTGTGTGTCTCCGCACGAGAGATCTAGAGGGAAGGCTGGAAGCTGCAGTTCTGCAATGAGTCTCTTTGCAGGTGGAGTCATCTCAAGAAGCCAATGCTGAGGTGATGAGAGAGATGACCAAGAAGCTGTATAGCCAGTATGAAGAGAAGCTGCGGGAGGAGCAGAGGAGGCACCGTGCCGAAAAGGAGGTGCTCCTGGTGCGTATGTGGTCACCGTCGACACAATAACACAGGACATGGGTGGCAGGTGCAGGTTCTTAGAGGGGAGGCTCAAATATGAGTGAGGGATTGAGGGGACTTATTTGTTTGCTTATTCAGTTCCCTTTCTTATCTCCTGCTCGGGATAATCCCCAATTTCTATGTCAACACTCTTTTATCTGGTAATCCGTGTTCCAGGATTCAAGCTGGTCTTGGGTTTGCCCTTCCTCGCTCCCTTTGGTTCTCTTTACCTGAAATTTCCTGCTTCCCCATCTTGGATCCTCAGTTCCCCAAAGTCTCCAGTGCCACCTTCTCTCTGCCATTCACACATCTGATGTTTCCTCCTCTGTCCTTGGGAAGTCATTCCGTCTCCCTGCTCTGGGCTGTGGAATTCCCTTGTGCCTGTCCTAGAGCTGGGCTGTACATATCATGACTTGGCTTTCTAGGGCAGCACAAGTACTTTGAAGGAAGGAGCCCATGTCTGGCTTATCTGTGTCCTTAGGCTTAGTAAAAGTGTCACATGATTGGCTATGTTTTCTTCTTAGGAGTGAGTGGCTGTATTACAATATGGGAGAAGGATCTGCAAATTTTACATTCAATTCTAGATCTGGCCCTAATTCCCTTAACAGTGTTGGAAAATGATACTCTGAGCATCTACTCAATGTTACTAGGATAAAAGGTAACCAGACCCATTAAAAAGTCATAGTCTGTGTCTTTATTCAGAGGTGAGAACCAGCCTCATGAGAGTTGAATTTGGCATTTTCAGGATACTTTTAGGTCCCAAAGTCATGGTTTTAAAGGGAAATCATACCTTAGCAAGGCCAGAGCTATTTGGGTCCTGTAGGTATGCCATACCTGTGCTGAGGACAGCGTGTTCCTTTTGCAGGAAGAAACCAATAGTTTCCTGAAAGCCATCGAAGAAGCCAATAAAAAGATGCAGGTGGCAGAGATCAGCCTAGAGGAAAAGGATCAGAGGATTGGAGAGCTTGACAGGCTCATTGAGCGTATGGAAAAGGTAACAGAGATGGTCTCCAACAGAGATGGTCTCGGCTCCCTCTCAGGTCTTGTGAAGACAGAAACACCTCAGTACCCATTTCTCTCAGCTCCCAGATTATGATTAAACAAACAGAGTTCTCATTTGTCCCACGGTAACTATTCTGATGGTTTTAAAAAACATTACAAAGCTGGAGGTATGGGTCAAGTGGTAGAGCACCTCCCTAGCAAGCAAGGCCCTGAGTTCAAATGCCAGAACCACAAATAAAACAGAGCAACCTTTACATATGAAATTCTGTACACAAAGTAACTCTGCAGTGGCCGGCTTTCCCAGTGCTCCAGGCACGCATTTAGTTTACCTATTGGGTAACTTAGCCCTATTTGGGTGTTCCATCAGCACCCCACCCTGTTGTTTCTGGGGCATGTGTCTGGGGCAGGTGGACTCTTCCCTGACACGCCTAGAGCCCAGGGGAGTGGGAAAGACCTCATTTCTCTGCGCATGTAGTATACAGGCTGATGGTTGGGGTGTGGGCCTGGGAAAGACAGGAGCTCAGTTGAGATAATGAACCAGTCTGGAGAAAGGGGAGGGGTGGAGGCAGGATGTGGAGAAAAAGGAAGAAGGGGTGGGAGAAAGGAAAGAGGACAGGAAGGAAGAGAAAGAATGGGTGATATTTAGCAGCTGACAGCTGACTTCTGGGGAAGGGCCCTGGAGTTAGGGCCAAAGCTGAGGCTGATTTCTGGAAAGTGACACTCTAGCTACGTTTGAGGTTGTGGACAGTGGTGATCCTCCTAAGACTGTGACAGTATTAGCACCCTGTCATTCACTCTGGATGCTGAGAATCGCCAACCCAATGGTAGAGGCTGGGGAATGACAATTAAGCAAGGTCCCTGTGTGGGCTTCCTTGTGGATCTGAAGATATGCCTCCTTACCTCCCCCTTGTTGTCTGCCATATATCCCTCTCATTCCCCAACAAAGTGGGTTCCAACCACAATGGAAACTGCCCCACATTTATTACTGTGGAACTTCAGGATTCATGGGGATGCATCATTCAGCTAATGTCCTTATTTAGGAGATAAAATCTCATCTCTACCCCAGGGGTGGCGGGGTTGGGGGTGGGGAATAGAATCCCACCTTCTATTGAAGAGCAGACAGCTGGCTCATTTAGGACTAACCTCCACCTTGAGTGGAGGTGGATGGAGTGAAGAACACATAAACACAGGTGTTTTCTAGAACCTGGGTGAGTGTTCTCTTGCTTTGCCATTCTCTCATAAAGCAGAAGACAGTGGTTGAGGCAGGAGCTCTGTCTAGGTGGTAGATTCTCCTGCAGTATGAGGAAGGCAGGAGGCAGCACACTGAGCATCTTCCAGAAAAAGTGCATGTGTGTGGCAAGCACAGGATTTAGAACCAGACAGACCCAGGGTGTGCATCTTGCCTCTCTTTCTAGTTATGGGCAGTTATTTCTCTTTTCCAAATCCAGTTTTCTCTTCTGTAAAATGCTGATATATGTTACTTCTTATTCTGAGAGCTTTTGTGAGAAGTACAGGAGAAAAATCCATGCTAAGTACTGAGCACAGAGCCTGGCACAAGGTTAAGGGCTCAATAATTTATAGCCCTGAGTTTTATTTTCTTACAGACTTGCCTAAGGTCTGCCCTGCAGTCAGCTTTTATTAGCTGGACCTGTTTTATAGTTGAGCTGCTTCGTGCCTTGGGATTCTGAAAGCTTCTAGTTTATTCACACTGATTTCCACGTGCACGTGCTATTACGGGAGGCAAATGGTGGGAGGTAGCCTTCCTTGCCTGCACTTGACTTTCTCTTTAGTGATTAAAAATTTATTGTCTTTTCTTTAGATCTTCTTTTCCATTTAGGCTAACGAGATGCTTGCTTTATTTAGTTGAGATTAGATATGCCCATTTACACTCTTTTCTCATTAGGGATAAAACTCTGAGAGCAGGAATCTGGCCAAATCTCTGTCTCACTCCATGTGAGCAGAGTGTCCACAGGTGGGAACTGTGGCCGTTTTTGTATTCTGTTCTTATTTCCTGTTGGATTTTGCTCAAAGACAAACTGTGTGCTTTTGAATGGCTTTTTTACCGCATACCTTAGTTCACAATTTCTCTTGCTAAGCACTGTATTGGAAGTACCTTTGGTTCTGATCTCCTAAAGAGTGTGCTCTTCTGTTTAGGTGTATACAAATGAAGGAAATTGTACAGTATATCCTGAAGATTTGTCATACCGCATTTAAAAAAATAGAATTTTAAATGTGTGCTATAGTTTGGTCTTGTCTTATTTTATGCCACCCATTTTGTAGGGTGGAGAGAATAGCCATTTGTGAAAGGTGTGTTACTCTTATTTCAGGGCTGATGTAAACTTCTAGCTAGTGGTATAGCCCTAAGGGCAGGGGGAACAGTCTGCCCAGGCCAGGCTGTAAGAATGTGCATCTGCTGTAGAGATGTCAAAACAGTAACAAAACCCCAGTAAAAGTTGGTCTTCCCGGCCAGGATGGATACTTCCCAGCCTCTTTGTTTTTCCCTTTTGTATCATTGCTTACAGTTTCAAAGACTGTGGGATTTGAATTTTCAAAGATTTGCTTTTAATAATTTGGTGGAAAAGAGGTTTGGAACCTATATGATTTTTCAGTTTGTTGGGGAGAATTTGTGAGGGTAAGATAAGGCACCGTAGTTCTTAGGAGTGGTCCAAAAGTAAAATACTCTCTTCCTGCATAGTGAGTTGAATTGGTAACATCTGTAATGTATTTCCCATGCTTCTATTAACATTTTTCTACTTTCTCTAAAGAAATCCTTGTCCAAATTCTCACTTTTTTGGGTAAACAAAAAGATTCACATATACATAATGGTGTATACAAAGTGTGTTGCTTGATACACATGTTTCTTATTGCTGTTGCAGACAATTACCACAAAATCAGTGGCTTCAAACAACATCAATTTATTCTTTTTCAGTTCTGGAGGTGAGAAGTCCTAGAATCAAGATGTTGGCAGAGCTGGATTCCTTTTGGAAGGTCCAGAGGAGAATCTATTTCCTTGTCTTTTCTAACTTTTGGGGGATGCCTGTGTTCCTTGGCTTGTGACCCCTTATTTCTGCCTCAGAGCCAGGAGTATAGCATTTTCCATCAGCTCTGACTCTAACCCTATTGCCTCCTCCTAGTGAAGGCCACCTGGATAATCTAGGATAATCTTCCCACTTAAAGAGTATATATTTATATGTCTTACCTTTCCATGTAAGATAACATACTTATAGGTTTAAGGAATTAGAAGATGGACATCTTTGGAGGATCATTTTTCTGTCCACAATACATTTCTTAGAAGTGACAGCACCTGTGTTAACACCACCAGATTGGTACATAGTACATTGCCAGAATTCCAGAGCCTCTTTTCTTGATGTTTTAGAAAATCATCAAGAATTTTACAATATCACAGGATACTGATTTAAAGCATTGATTATCATTATTTAGAACAGTAAATTTTCATAAGACCTGAGGCAGGATAAATAGAATATTTTAAAAAAATCTTGAAAGTGAACTAGGCATGGTGGCTCATGCTTGTATTAGCTACTTGTATGGTAGAGATCAGGAGGATCACACTTTGAGTCCAGCTTGGACAAAAAAGTTCAACCAATCTCAACCAATAAAAGCTGGATGTGGTGGCATGCACCTGTCATGCTAGCTATGCAGGAAGCATAAATAGGAAGATTGTGATCCTTGCTGGCCTGAGCATAAATGGAAGACCCTATTAAAAAATACCTAAAGCAAAAGGAGCTGGGGGTGTGGCTAAAATGGTAGAGGTTTAGTGCAAGGCCTGAGTTCAACCCCCAATACAACAACAACAAAAATCCTGAATGTGGTTTTGTTGGGGTACTTGTCTCCATAAACACGTATGTATGTAAGTACATAGACATATTTGGTACCTTGGATCTTTATTTGGATGCTGTTGGTGGGTGAGAGTGTAAAACCCAGGGAAGGTTCCACAGACTTGGACTTGCTTGGTTCACATCCTCCGTCCATCTCCATCTTGATCCATTGATTATATTTGTTGGTTCTAGGAACGGCATCAACTTCAACTTCAACTCCTAGAGCATGAAACGGAAATGTCAGGGGAGCTCACTGAATCTGACAAGGAGAGGTAAGAGGAGCTGTTCTTGGTCTTTTAGTGGATTTAGAGGGTGAGCATGATCTGTTTTGAGGAATCACTTAACCCTGTGTTTTCATTCACATGTTCATCATTTACTATAGACATGTGTGACATATGTGTGACCTTGAGCTGAGAGCGTCCAGTGTAGAGCTGGTTCCTGTAGGAGCTTACAGCCACATCTCACCAGTTGTGGCTGGTTGTTAGCGCAGTGGGACACATCAAAGACTGTCTCAAGTGCAAAAGTTCAGTCTATAAATGTTCTCCATAACTTTGGACTCCACAGGATACACCTTGTTGATGAGGAAACTCATCAACGGTGACTAATACCACTTGTCCTGAAAATTAATTTTAAAATCTTTTTGTTTTCAAACTTCACATTGCCCTTTGGCTATGAGTATATAAACCCCTGGGTAGAAAATACAGGAGGAGTACACTGTCTCTTCTAGAAACCAAAAGGCAGAGAAGGTTGCATGTGGCTCTCTAGAGAAGGAAAGCAAGGCTGGCATGATTTGAGCAGCCTGGGGAGGTTACTTAGCCTCCCCTGAGTATCTTGCTTAGCTATGAGATAGGGATTCCTTTTAAAGGAGGAAGGGTTCTGACGTTGATAACGGAGCCCATCTTGGTGGCTTACATTGTTAGGGAGTTTTTGGGCATACTGACTCCCACGTAGTATGTGAGGAAAAAAATTACCTGCTTTTCTTCCTTTTTTATAACTTTAGAGTTTTCAAGGTAGTATCATAAGAGTATTCACTGTCTTTCCAGTTGTGCTGAGGGGGATCTGGCAGAGCTGGTGGTCACAGATACCATGCCCTTCCTCCAGTGCTCCATTCCGACAGCCCGGAGAACTCAGTCATCTGCTGGCTCCTTTGGTTTCTTTGAACCAAGTAAAGTCAGAGAGCACTTTGTGCTGTTTTAAAACAAGAAGTTTGAAGTGTTTTGTGACATAAGCCACTCCATTCTGAAACAGAGAAGTTCTTTCAACATGTTCCCTGTTCATCTAAAATAAATGATCTATAGAATGACTATAATTCCAGACATTCCAGGACTCTGTCATTTGATGTCAGATTTTTTCTTGTGTCTTAATCAAGGTCACTGATTGGATGTTCTCATCTTGTATTAAACCCCCACACAGGAAGTTTTTCCCCTGTGGAGAAAAAAAAAACTCTTTCTGTGTCCCTAGAGAGTATAGTAACTATTATCACACAGGATAAAACTTGAGAATGGAAGCATGAATGAGCCCTGTATTCCCCTCGGCTGGGGTGGTCTGTGTGTAGTTGACCCCTAGGATATGCCTGGTAAGAAGAGTGGGTCTTGGAGTTTCACTTTGTGTGCTTGACAATATTTCTAAAAGCTGTGACTCTTGTGCTGCTATGGCTGCTTTGGGTTAGGACTCAGCTGCTGTTCCTTCTCTCTGTTAGATATCAGCAGCTGGAGGAGGCGTCAGCTAGCCTCCGAGAGCGGATCAAACACCTAGATGACATGGTGCACTGCCAGCAGAAGAAGGTCAAGCAGATGGTTGAGGAGGTAAGCACTTGCACACAGGCCTCAGGCCAAGGTCGCTTCTGGTCATGGGGAAGCTTCAATTCTAGGACACATCCTACTCTCAGCTCAGTTTCCTGTGGCTCATACATCCCCTGTGGACTGATGAGTAGCCCTCTAAGAGAGGGCTTTCTCTAGACATCACAGTTAAGAAAGCTGTCAAGTGCCATTCTTGAGCACACCAACTCTCAAAGGACAGCAGTGCCTTGGGTGTGTCCTGCAGCTCAGAGAACAGAAGAGTGCACTGAGAGAAGTGGACTTGAGCTCAGATTGCTGCACTTCTTCCACACAACTGCCTGCCTCTCCTCCCTGCTGCCACTTCTGTCCTTCCTTCATTTCTGGTGTGTCCTTTATGCCCTGCCTCTTTTGCTCTCTTGCCTTGCCTGATCATCTTTTTCTTGCTCCTTCCTTGCTCTCTTCTCTCACTCCTGTTTCTTCTTTATCTTTTCTCTTTTCCACCATTTTTCTCTGTCTATGTGATATGAAATATTTATTCTACTGGGGATAGTTGACTGTTCTTTTTTTCTAAATGAAAAAACAAACAGGTAAGTAGAATGATTATTTCTGTAAAAAGAAAAAAATTATTTTGATTTGTGTCAGTATAATCTCATGGTGATGCTCAATACAAGAAAGTCCTTGCTGCAGTAAAACTAGTCACATACTATTGTAATTTTGTTTTCTTGCTCAATTAAAAAAAGATAGACAAGTCTGATAGAAAAAAATAGTTAGTGCCAACAGGATTGTTAGAATTCCCTGTGTCTAATTCTCTAACTTGCAAAGGAAAGAAAATATGTCAACTTAATTAAACTTTTGGTTGGCAGTAAAAAACTGAAAAAAAACCCTCATGTCTCTTTCACTAAGCACCACTCTAAAAATACCCATTTTATTAATGAATTATTAATATTAAAACTATATCTATTTTTGATAAATAAGTCATACACATGACAGACAAAAGATTTGAAGTATATCCATTTTATCAATCCATAAGATTTGGGGGGTATTATAGTAGAGAGGTTAAGGTCAAGGAGTTGTGAGGGTGTGGTGGACACCTTGATATTTTGGGTCTAGGATAAACATACACAGTAGATAAAATCTTGTCCTCAAACAGAAGTCCAGTCACAGGCTGCTGAGTCATGCCTGTCTCATATGGGCAGAGGCTCACAGAAGTACCAGGCTGGACCCCCACTCACTTTGTGCACCAGCCACAGTGATGGGGGGAGGTCCTGCCCCATCCTCAGCACTGGGCAGGTGTCAGGAGAGTATTTCCTAAGGGAAAGCATCACTTCATCACCTTTAACATCTTAGGGACCTTTGACTATCACTGTAGTCTTTTTGCTTCTGAATTCCACACGCTTGAAGTCTGGGGCAAGTGTATCTCCCCCCGTGGGACTCTTTAACTGTGGGGGCTGCATTTCTTCCACCTCACTCCAGGGAGTGTGTGTTGTGTTGTTCTTATGTCTGTGTTAGAGAACCATTGAACAAAACCTCACAGATTCGCTTTTGATACATTAAACACTTATCTCTAAGGGGTTAAGTCTAGTACCAAAATCAAAGAGATGTTTTTTTAAAAGACACTTTCAAAGAAATTTAGAGTTCTCTGTATTACAACTTACTTCTAGAATATAATGAATATACCAATTTGCAGGAAGCTGGGGAAAGTGCGTGCACACACACACACACACACACACACACACACACAAACACACACACAGAGTCATTTCCTGACATCTCAGGCATTTGGTATCCAAGGATACCAAAATCTGTGGATGCTCAAGTTCTATATGTAAAATATGTATTATTTGTATATAACCTATGACATCCTCCTGCATACTTTAAATCACCCTACGTTGCTTATTATGATTAATACAGTATAAATGCTACATAAATAGTTATGCTGCATTGCTTAAGGGATGACAAGGAAAAAGTCTGTACATGTTCAGTGAAGATGACATTTTACTTTTTCCAAAATTTTCCAGCTGAAGTTGGTTAAATCCACAGTTGTGGAATCTACGAAAATGGAGGGCCAACTGTGTGTGTGTGTATAAGTAGGGAAACACATAAAGATTGATGTCCATGCCTTGTTTCTCTTTCTGTGACCTCACATTCACACAAAGTTTCTCAAGCCTGGAAGACAGACAATGGAATGAAATCCCAGGCTCAAAGTTAGGATGCTGCCATTAGCGTTAGCACCACCTAGAGGCTTCCTGGGTTTTAACAGTGAATAGAGACTTCAAAAAAGACTTTAAAATTTGAATTTCAACTATCTAGTCAGGTAGGAAAAATTACTGTGTTTGTCTAGCATTCCCGTGTCAACTTCTACAACAGAAGGATGGTTTTAAAATCTCAATTGTTGTGAACATTTCTTGAGAATACATTTTTTTTAAAAGTTAGAAACATGGGAAAAAGACATGGACAAATGACACTTTCAGAGGAGCAAGGCTAGGTTGGAAAGTTGTTGAGAGCTGTAGTAGTTCAAGTAATGGTTAGAGAATTCCCTGGTTGGGGAGGACATGGCCAAGGAGAGACATGAAAGCTGAATTCACATGTTAGAAAGTGATGCTGTAGAAGAGGGAATATGCTTTTGATACGTGATGCAAAGCCAGGCCAGAACCACTGGGTGGCACTTTCACAGAGGAAAATTTCAGCTCTTCATTCAAAATATAGAGAACATTTCTGATATTGCTAACTGCCCTGGAAAGGTAATTAGGTCATCATGGGTGCATTCCTTGTGAAGCAAGGGACTGAGCTAGAAACTCTCTAGTGTTTCTCCAGGATTCTGTGTTCTGTGATCTTAAAGGCCATATAGAAGAAATACGATAACTTTGGTAAGTGCTCTTTATATAAAGAATTCTGTTGCTTACTAACTGTGCTGTCCCTTACTGCGATCTTGGCATTATCACAGTTTTGTATAGTGAACAAATTCATAAGTAATCACTCAGGTCATGTGGGCCAAACTTTGAAAAATCCAGACTACTGATTTGGTCACTGTGGAGTCTTGCACTCTGACTTTTTTAGTATATTTTTTTATCTGTGAACATCTGCTACAGAGAGAGAGAGAGAGAGAGAGAGAGAGGGAGACAGACATTAACTAGACCAGAGACAATGCTTAAGTGCAGCAGATGTTTGGGTCACTTTTCCTTCTCTTACCCAAGGCCTGAAAGCTCAAATGTATCATAGGTTCACCTTCACTGAGATTGGGACTCCAGTCTCCATCCAGTGTTGGTGCTATTTTGGTTATAATGTCTCTGAAGAAACATCGCTTATTACAATGATGAAATTATTTTTTCAGCTCAGAACCTCCAGGTATCACTACTGAGGCTCTGGAAAACCTTAAATGTTAAGCAATATGTTTTCCCACCTCAGAAGAATATCATTTCATTATTAGCTCAATAATGACTTGTGTTCCATTATGTTGACAGTGAGGACTTGTATATGTAAGAAGGACTCATGGCGGGGAGGGGCTCTGTTGAAATGAAGGATTAGTACCTAAAGGTATGGGGTCAAGTTCATTGAAAAAAGGCGACACAGTGTGCTTTCTGAAAAGTGTGAGACCAAATATACCCACCTGGCCAAGTCTTTCTAGTGAATAGGTCTTCTGTCATGTGTATCAGAAACTGGCTATCCCCACCCCCATCATTAGTTCTTCCAGCTGGTTCTGGCTTTGACAAAAAGTAACAAAACAAAACAGTACCCCCCCCTTCTTTTTTCTTTTCTTTTCTTTTTTTTTAGATTTTTAAGGGTTTTCCAGAAAATGTATAGAAACAGCAAAGGATTGAAAACTAATATCATTTTAAGAGAAATTCATGAATGGCAAAACCTCAGAGCAGTTGCTTTGTGCTAGGGTGGGGTGTACAGTGGAGAGCCGTGTTAATTATGACTCTGCCTTTGTTCATCTTAGCCTCTGGTGCTACCAGATTTCCAGGGTAATCCTTGACCTTGGGCATCTTTCATCTGTTCAAAGCCTTGTTGGAAATCTGTTCTTGGTCTCAAATCAGGCTGCATTCTTTAGCTTACCAGTACAGGCACAGGAGAGCTAGGAGGGGGGAAAGGTTGGAGAGGATCCTGGCACTGGAGCAGTGAACCTCAGCTCACATATCTGACTGTGACTTTCTCAGCCAGGAGGGTCATTCGTGGCTCCTATTGCTCTCACTAAAGCCCAGACTGCTGCCACCAAAGCAGCTTTCCTGCCAAGAAAGAGCAATCTGGAGGGAAAACCCCTAAATTCTTATTTACCCTCCAAAAGGGTGGATTTACATTTTTTCCAATGGGCAATGATACTATTCAGTTGAGAAAAGAGTAATTCAATAAGAGTTCCTTTACTCTTTTCCAGTTCAACCAATAGGCATCCTTTGATTTCAGTATGTCTTTCTTTTCCCAAAAAAAGTGTCTGAAGGAAGTTTCTTTCCAGTTGCAGAAGAAGCATTGTTTCTTTAGACTTCTTTTTCAGAAGCCAATTATGCTCGTCTCCTTTTTTGTAATATAACTGTTGGATAAGAACAAAGGTGCAAGGAATTGATTTTCTCACCAGCGTATCTCCATCCATCCTGCACTCTCAAATTGCCTAGGGAGCTTTAGAAAAATGCCTGAACCTGGCAGATGGGGATGGGAGGCAGCCTGGGGTCTGGTGGTCTTTGTCTTTTTTTTCTTTTTAACTCCACAGTAATTACAGTATGCAGCCAGAATTGAGACCCAGGTCCCAGATTCTTAGAACAGTGGCCGGCTCTTCTTGTTTTCATGTTGTTATGTACTTAGCCAGCTCCTTTGGAAGATTCTAGAACCAAGGTGGAAAGCTGTGAACTTAGAATAGGAAGGTCTCAGTGGAGGAAGACCTGGGGACAGGAGCTTCTGAAGAAGAAAGCTGTCCCAAGCCTGAGACATTCTGGTCTTGTTAGGGAACCCTACTTTTTGCCAGCCCCAGTCCTAGAAGGATTCTGTGACAGCTCACTCTTAATGCTAGAGTGGTCTAGAGGCAAAAAGAGCAAGAA